CCGAAAACGATCAAGTTTGCAAAATGGTGCTGCGCTTAATTGGTGGCTTTGTCACATGAGCTTAGAAGGAGGCTGAGGACTTCCGAAGCATTCTTCACGCATGGGAGAACTATCCAAAATTCTCGGCCGGTTGGATTTTGTCTCTCGCTTCGCCGCAAACTACTCGAGTCAGCGTTTTCCGGTTTTCAGTCAATCAACAAGCGCAACGACCTCCTCTCTTCATATTCGGCACTGAGACTTTGCTTAGGCAAAATAATTGGCCGCGAGGAGAGCGTGCAGATAACTGCTGTCTTTATATAGCAGTGTCTGCGAGCCAAACTGCCCAGGAGTCCACATGAATGACGAAATCCGATCGTCGGCAACACGGCTGCGTGCGATGAGTGTAGGAGCCGACAATCTTGACCAGTACATAAGCGTAAAGCAACCGCATGGCAACTGCTTACTGCCGTGACGCACTCGGGAGTTGCCAACTGTGATAGGCATGTAGCGGCCTAGCAACTACATCCTACAAATATCGTAACACCTGGACAATCCACTACCCTTTTCTGACTCTGTCTCGAGTGAGAATCCGAAACGTCGGGCTAATAAACCTCCTGTTCCAGCGACCGTGTCTCCTTCTTGGCGACCACTTTCTGTAACTCGCCTTTTCGCTTTTATTAGCATATCAATATTTATATAGTCCTTCTGCAGTGCATTCATAATCGTATATGGGAGCCTAAAAGTGAGCAAAAGTATCAAAAATTGACGCAGACAACCAGTCCATCCATAATAATGGTTTATTTACTTAACTGTTGGTCGACTGGATTCGGAGTAGTCAGACGTAGGCAATTTAGAATTTGCACAAACGAACACACAATACCGGGATTGGCGGGTAGGCGTCGAGGCCTGACGATAGGCGTAAAAGTGTGGATTCCAGGTAGTGCTTACGATAAATACGCGATGGCTATAAAAAAACAGCTTTATCCGCCGGCATTCGGGATTCGTGTTAGAGCGTATCACCAGAAGCAGGAAATGAGAATGACGTTTGTGGTCGCGTTCCGCGATTGGTCACTTCGCCGTGATCAACCGTGCAAGTGCTATCAATTCTCAACTATGAGGGACTCGGGTGTGGTCGGCCAATAAAAAGTCATGCGACTGCTTACTAACCCTGTCCTATGATTACTGTCCCACCCCATCATCCGATACCGTCCACCCGCTTCTGAGCTCAAGTCAGAAATGACAGGCAAGTCAACCTCGTTTTGCTGGACTCGAGATTGGAGGAGGGAGTTTGAGGGCATATGACAAAGAAAGGGGAGAGAGAAAGATGGGGGAGGGAGAGGATGATGATGATGATGATGATGATGATGAGGAGGAGGAGGAGGAGGAGGAGGAGGAGGAGGAGGAAGGAATGTCTTTCCATTTTAAAATGTTCCTATTACGAGATTTTTAAGACCGTGTGATTCCATCCATACAGCATCGTACCTGTCCGTTTACCAACGCTCCTCATGAAATGTACAACATAGTTCGCATCCATTGCAACATTTTATGGACTCTATATAGTGTTTTCTTAAAATCACAAAGGAATATATGATTTTCCGTACGCGGAAAGCATGCATCTTGTAGCCTGAAATAGCTTAACGCTAATAACACGGCTGATCTGGCCCAAAATTATCGGGAAAATGGGAAACTTTTTAAAAACAAAATATTCACTTTCTTCGGGTATAAAATGTGAAGACAAAGTGGTTTTCTATTAACCGAGTAAAAGAAAACATATTTTATGTTTGTTTCTTTTATAAAATATATTTAAATTCATAAGACCACCGAAAATCGGCGTGAAAAATGTGTTATTCAAGTAGTTATTTTTTACCGAGTGCGGTTTCTGTAGGAGGTCGAAAAAAAAGTACATTCAAAAACTGATATCCTGGCGAGTCCGAAATATTGTGGGATTAAATCGCGTGGTAATCAATACTACAACCCCACCCAAGTAACCCCTTCTAGTCGAAAACGCATTTCAGAATTTCGGCCAGCATTTCATGTGATCGGTCACTCACTGAGCCTGTTTTGGGGGCCTGACTAGAACCACCTTTGGTTTTTTACTTCCTGTTTTCTGAGGCCCAGTTGAACGAAATCCCTAGGATATCCGTCATGAAAATATGACAATGACCAATAATTTTCCCTTGTTCGATAAATTTCATTGTCAGGGCATCTGTGAACACTAGTTTGAAGAGACGATTTGGCGCATAGTGTAAATCGATTTTAATCCGAGTTACGAGACCGCGACCGGGAGCACTGAGTTCGAGTTCCGGAGAGGAAGCCAGCTTTTTCACAAATGGATCAGTTGCTTTACTCAAATCGGCCGAAAACCCCTATTAATAACCAAAATAGTACAAACAGTGGTGACCTTTGTAGAAAAAGAACGTCAAACAGTTGTACCAATGAGTAGTTGTCAAACGGAGTTCACTCACCACCTGACTAGCAGTCATACCGTCGGAGACCTGACCAAGGTCAGAGCCAACCTTTTTCAGAATCTCCTTGTTGTGTGCCTGTGTGAGTTTCTCAGCGACACTCAGTTTGCTCTGGAAAAAGCCATTTTCGCATTCCAAACCCTTTGTAGAACCCAGAACAATGCCTGAGCCGAGGACCATGTTTGAACGATGCGGTGGATAGGCCTCAGCATCGCCCAGACCGGGTGGAATGTAGGAGCTACTGAGGCAGACGCCGCTGCCTGGCAGATCGTGTCGTTTGAGCGACTCACTTGATCGGATCATTGAGATGAACTCGGCGCGGTGTTCGTCCTGAGCCGGACCCCACTCAGTCACTGGCTTGAGAAACTCCGTGAACAGCTGTCGTAGCGTGGAAAGACGAAAAGGTGGGAAGGAGTGAGCTTTTAGCAAAACAAAGGAATACGATTCTAAGACAGACAGGGCCGAGCCTCAAACGACCCCCTGCCCCCGGATCTGTGTGAAAGAATGTGCTTGAATTCACAACGCACAAAGGGCTTGAAAACGCCAAGTCCATTGGACTGCCGAGTGCAGTGAAATTAATGGATCGCTTTAAACTGAAAAGCGCGTGTGTCTCAATATCGAGATCTAAATCAAGTTAAATGTTTTAGATAGAACAAGCTCGAGCAGTTAGGCCTGCCGACGCCAAAGTGGGTGGTCATGCTGGGGCGATTAATGGATGGTGGATGCCCTGGACCTTTGGAACTTTATTGAGACCATCAGAAGCTATACAACCGGTAACGATAGGGTTTAGGACCCTCAAGTGGATGGTAACTCTAAAAATATACCCTAAAATTCAGTGTGACTGTAAACATCAGTTATTATTAATTGTTCCCACTGTTTGAAAGTTCCCTCCCTCCCTGACTAAATGCCAACTTATCAGCGGTGCATTATTAAAAGTCCGTCGTTTTTTGAAAATCGTTTTTTTGTTTTTCGGTAGAAATTTACCTAGTTTCTGTGTCTTCTTGCTCTCCGTCCCGTGTGTTGCCCCCCCCCCCTAAAACCCCCGCTACCACCATTCAACGTATGACACGGTCCACAGACTAGCTCAAGTTA